TTTTTCAGTTAACCGTCTGTAGTTCTTTTCCATCCCGTTCAGCTTTGACAAAACCATTTACCCTTTACTAGAATATTTGATTTATTTGTTGAAAAGGGGTGAGTGGACCTGTGCTAAAGGTAAGAATTCAAAAAGTAAAATTATTTGGAGAAAGCTGATTTGCAAAGAGCTGATGTGACTGATGTAACTGGTACGTTAAGCACTTCACAACAGTCTTGGGTTTTTGAAAAGAAAACTCCCTGTCCAAAGCATTTAGACTGGAATTCATCCCACTGAAGTTCAAACTCTGAAACTGTTTGCTCTCCAGCAATATCTGCTGCTGTCCCACTGATAACAGCTGGAAGCTGCAGCAAATACATCTACCACTTACAGTGTGCCTTCCATGTGCGGGTGCCCCTGCAGATTTGAGCCTCAGTTAAATACCTAAAGATTGGGGAGATAAATGTGAGTGAAGATAAAATTCAGAGTGAAGATAAAAGGGTAAGAAATGAGGAGAGCCTCATCTGGATGAGGATCCCAGCAGTGCTGGTGGCACTGTAAGCTGTGAGCTAATACAGACTCACCCACGGAGCTCCCAGAGGAAGGGCCTGTCTGGGCTTGGGAAAGGCAACTGGAACGAGGCAGGGAGGGTTTCCCAACATCCCCACGACTGCAGTTATCCCACAGCAGCGTTTACACCCTGGCCAGGGGCTGTTGTGGCCGTGCAGAGGTTTGTGCAGTGGAGGGAGGGAGGTGAACTGGAGGAGGAAGGTCAGGAGCTCCTGCAGAGATGATGGTTTGTGGTGCTGTTAACGCAGTGAGAAGGTGTCAGCCAGGACACAGCGCAGTAAGAGATGAGTTGGAAAGTCAGGAAAGGGGCCACGGTGTGATGGACAGGTGAGAAAATTGGCTGTGCCTCTGGAATGTGCTGAAAGGAAGGACACCTTAAACACCACTGGACTGTGTAAGTGCTGTTCAGCAGCTGCAATCAGATGGAAATGTAGGTGATCACAGAACCCTCACTGGGCACTTCTGTAAGTCCCCCTTATATTTATACTTTCCTTGATTCTCCACTGGAAATCCAGTATTACATGGAGGTATATCCTTATATATAATAATAGAAATAAAGAAGCCCACACATGGGAGTAAGTTCCGCTGTAAGCAGCTGGAATAATTATGTTTCATTAATTGTGTTATTATATGTGTTTATCTCTCTTGCCCATTAATCTTTGAATCTCTACATCAGTACCCTGAATTTGTCTGTTTTCCCTGCTCAGCATTCCTGTCAGGCAGATCCCCAGCCAGCCTGGATCCGCAGGAATGCTGACAGGCCAATGTGCAGATGGATTGCACAGTTCCTCGCCACAGTTCAGCAGTTCCTGCTCTTCTATTCAGAAGGGGTCCAGTTGGACTCTCCCTCCTCTGCAAGGCTCCCAGCTTGCCTGGATGTCTTCACAAGTGAGATCACAGATGTCCAACTAGAAATCAATGCTGCCATTCACTGAACTGGATAATTGTTGCCTTTTCCTGGTGAAGAGTTCTCGATAAGATGCAGTACAACAACAAAGAAAAATCAGTGCATTTAATGTTGTCAGATACTGAGCTGGGTTTAGATGAGACAGTTCAGTGAAGTTAAATAAGATCTTTCCTACTGAATCAGAAACTGCAGCTAAGCTTCCCTGCTTCTTCACTCAATCTTTTTTCCATTTTGAGAGGGGAACACAAACGGGGGATGTGCAGGAGGAAAGGAGCACCATCTAGTGTTTAAAGAATAACGCTGGAGAAGGAAACACTGCCATTAGTTAAAGCACACACCGTGGTGCAATTCTTTGGCTGACTTGTTTTGCATGCAGGAAACCAATAAATTCTGGAAATGTAACAAGAAGATGATCTTCATGGCACTGTGTGAATGACATCTCAGACTGCGTCAGGCACGGCAACTCGGAAAAATGCTTTGCCTACTTGTCTGTGCTGGTTAAAGGAAGAGCTGAGGAAAGGTTTGTGTTCCCCACCCCCAAATAATTTAAATACTGGAAGGCCAAAGCCACTCAGCCTTTGCAATAACGTGCAGTGCAGCAGGTGAGTGCTGTCCACAGCAGGGGAACGGCGTTTCCCTTGGCAGTTCCTTTGGGAGAACCTGCAAAATGTTCCTCAAAATGCAGTAACAGCAACAGTTAAACCAACATCCCAGCAGGCAGGTCTGGGCCGACTCTGGGGGGGAGAGGATTTGGGGGGGACAGTTGTCCGTAGTGCCGTTGTTCTGGAAGGCAAAAAACCCAACAGATGTTCTGGGCAAGCTCTGAACTCTGGGGTTCATCTCCAGCTGAATCCCCATTTCTCCAAAGACCCCAGACAAGAGACAAAGTCATTTTTGCTTTCTGTTTGGTGAAAGGGAGCAGTGTGTGCTCTCAGCCACGCTAATTTTGGAGCGTGATCTCACTCGAACCAAAAGCACAGGACAGATGTGCTGCTTGTAATTTGTTGGTGTTTTCCTGTGCTGCTGTAAACATGAGAGCATGAGCCTGGCACACACACCAGCTGTGCTCTCTCTGCTTCCAGAGTAATGAGAAACTCTTTTTTCTTGCATATTTACCTTGTTTCCCCTAGAATAAAACGTGATCTTATTCAAGAACTGTGAACGCTTTTATTCATTATAAGTTAAAGCCATCCCAATTATATAGAGTTAGACCAGTCTCTCATTTTTGAGAGTAAATACATTTCTGTTTTCATGTGTACTACATGGCCTTGTCAGCCAAAAGCGCTGCTACTAAAATATTAGTTAATTTTTGGGAGGGAAGGACACACCAGGACAAAAAGGGAATTTCAAGTATTTTTATGAGTGACAAGCTCTGTGGTCCTTTTGGGAGCATAATCGGTGTTTGTGTATGTGGAACATTGACCTGCCTGTCATGTGCACCCCAAAAGCTTCAGTGGCCGTTGCCTCTGGGCAGGGGGGACATCCTGTCTTGTGATATTGTTGTTTTTTTATTTGTGTTCCAGACATTTCATAGCAGCACAACGTCCTCTGTGTCACCTGAGCGTCCTTGGAGAGGAAAACGGGAAAGGAAGAAGCAGGTAAAGGAAAAAAGTATTGTTTTCATTTACATTCACCACAACATCTTAGCCATAAGTTGCTGTTATTTACCAGTCCACATCTGGATCTGTTTGTGGAAAAAAAAATAAAGGGCCTACATGAAGTAAGGAACTTATTTCCCGAGAAGGGGGAAGCTGTGAAATCAGGGGATTCTCCTGCCCTGCGCTGCAAGGAAGCTGAGCAGAAAACTGAAAAAAGAGAAGTAGTGCCCCCAGAGTTGTGAGGATTTTTGGGTCCTCTGGGATTTTGTGCAGGATGGAATCACTGGCAGCCAGCAGGAGTCAGGGGTGCTCTCAAGGCCATGCTTCACTGAATGATGAGATCATGGAACACATCAGGGGGAAGTGCTGGGGCACTTGTCTCAACGACTGAGGTAAGGAACCAGCTGCTTCTAAAGACAATGGGGGTTTTCTCTGTGTAACTCCTGTTCTGGCAAATGATACTTGCCAAGAAAGATGCCACCAGAAGAGCAAGAACACTTTGTATTTGGGGAAGAAGATGCTGAGCAGTATATATGGAAGAAACATTACTGGCCTGTTATTAAAGCAGGATCAGCTCTTCTTACTGTCCACATTTCCTAAAAAGCCCTCACCTTTTGACAGCAGAATCACAGAATCAGACATTCTAGCCTGAAAAAAAAAGGAAAAAAAATAAGTCTTAGTTTGCAGTGTTTAATCTTTTCGTGGATCCAACTTCATGTCATGTGAGCTGAGTGTGGAGATAACTTCCACACCTCAGCTGCTGTAAGGAATCACTCCTGTTTCTCTGCCAACAGAACACTGATTATCTCCTCCCTCACCACTTCCCTTATCAGTAGGTGATAACTGGAGGGGAGGACTCCAGGAATTCTGCAACCTCCAAGTGTAGAACCCATGGACGACCACACTGAATAATCAGGTGCCTTTATATCCCTTACATCCTTTAGCAAGGCATGAAAATGTTGTCTGGCTCATGAGATGGTTATTGAGAAATTAATCAAGGCAGTTAGAAATGAGGACAGAGTAAGAAGCTCTGGGGAATTTAGGATTTCTGGGTAACCTGAACTTCCACACTGTCAGAATTCAGTCAGAAGAGCCTATTTCATAAATAGCATTAACCTAATAAAACCACCATTGCAAACATCAGCTCCAGCCACTGGGACAACTGTTTTGACAGCAAACCTTTGTGCTGTGTTTCAGGGTGAGAGTGAAAAGCTGAATGTCATTAAACATGGAACAGTCTCCTCCCAGTTTTGGATGAACGTGCCACACCTGTTTTCTGTATTTGTACCCAGAGCTTTGGGCATGTTTGAGGGAAATAAGCACTCAGTGTGTTCCAAACATAAGGACAGATGATGTGAAGTTACCAGTGGCAGTTTGGTGTCTTCACAGTGAAGTTTCCTATGGCAGAAGCTCTCTATCACTAACACTGGAAGTTCCCTGGAGCCCACAATGTGCCAGTGAAATGTAACTATACAAAAATACAGTTTGGGCTGTGATCATTCGGGAGCCTAAACCCCGCAAGCTGCAGCTGATCCTGCCTGCATATTCCATATTTTTTCCCCCACTCTTTCGGCTGCTGCTGCGGCGTCAGGCAGGGATGAGGCTCGGGATGGGACACATCACGACACTGCAGGAGAAGGGCGTTAATGTGACCCTGGGCTGAGGGAGCGTTTGGAGAACCGTTTTTGCGCGTGTAACAGTACAACAGCACACGGTCCGTGTGGGGAGGGGGGAGGCAGCGCCTTGGCCCGGCCGCGGGGCGGGGCTGCTCGGGCACGGCCGGGGCCGCTCCCCGTGAGGGGCCGGGGCGGGGCTGTTCGGGGCGGGGCCGTTCGGGGCGGGGCGGGGCTGTTCGGGCCGGGGCGGGGCCGTGCGGGGCGGGCCCGCACTACAAGTCCCGAGAGGCCGCGGGCCGGGCCGGCCCCGCTCCTTGCGCGGCCGCGGCGATGCCGGCGGGCTCCGAGGGCGAGGACGGCCCGGCCGGGGAGCAGCCCGGCCCCGGCGGCCCCAAGCTCTGCGGGTACCTGCAGAAGCTGTCGGGGAAAGGGCCCCTGCGCGGCTTCCGCACCCGCTGGTTCGTGTTCGACCCGCGCCGCTGTTACCTCTACTACTTCAAGGGGCCGCAGGAGCCGCTGCCGCTCGGGCACATCGACATCGCCTCCGCCTCGTTCAGCTACCACCAGCCCGAGGCGGCCGCGGCCGCGCCGGGGGACGAGCCCGCCGCCTTCGAGGTGCACGGGCCCGGCGGGGCCGTCACCGTGCTCAAGGTAGGCCCGGGACTCAGCCCCGGCCCGGTCCTGCCCCGTCCCCATCCCCGCTCCTGTCCCTGTCCCGGCCCCGCGGGTTGTGCCCGAGCCGTGTCCCGGCGGGCTGGCAGGGGCAGGAAGGTGCAAACGGGCTCGGCGGTGCCGGGCCGTCCCCTCAGGGGTTTGTGTTCCCCTCACGGGTCTGTCTCCCCTGGGAGGGAGGAGGCGCCGCTGCCCAGCGCGGGACGGGCTGAGGGGCTCCTGGGGGAACGACGGGGTGGGAGAAAAAGATTTCCGAAGAAATGTGGTGGGTTGTGGATCGGGAGGCAGGGAGGGAGTGGCCGCGTCTCGGTCTCGGGGTGTTTATGTTGAAAAGATGGTGCGTGGCACAAGTCTGTGTCTGGGCTGCCTCGGGAGGAAGGAAGAGGAGGGAGAATTGTTTCCTGAGAGTAGCAGAGGCTCCTTATCTGTACAAGGACCTTCCTAGGGCGAGAGGCAAATGTAGGGATTGTTTTACGTATCTTTCCTCTATTGTCGTGCCTAGGAGAAAAAAAAAAAAAAGCCAACAAAACAGCCGAGGAAACCATTTCCACTCAGTGAAGAAGAAATAAATCCTCTCGAGTATCCGTGATTTTTGATTGCTGTTGAGGCAGATGAGCCCCTCAAGGAACGTTCTTGTGCACTGAATGGGACTTTTCACGTGAACCGTGTCCTTTTTGAGCATAATCTATTAGGTTATTAATGGATTAACACTAACACTTCCTATTGATTTTTGGAAGAAATCTCTTAGGCGCTTCTTTAACAGTGGAGATCTGAGCAGTGATAGCACGTGGTGAGATCGTGGAACGTGATTGTGTCAAGCTCTTCAGCATCATTCTGTTCTGATAACTAGAAGTGTCAAAATACAGAATCATCTGCATACTTTGCTGCAGAATACACAGGTTATTTAACTAGGAAACTAACACGATAATCATTTTAACTTATTTGATGGAGGAAAAGCAGTGCAACCCCGCGTAAAAGCTGCTTTTGTATAGCCTTAACCAAAGGTTTTATTGCTTTCTATGAATCTGCTTTTATGGCCTGTGTTATGCGAGGTAAAGCTGCAGACTTGGTGCAAGCGTTGATTTTCTGGTAGCTCGAGAATGTCTTGCTTGGTTGGGTTTTTTAATTAGCATTTAATGATTTTTTTTTTTTTTAACGTGGAAATCTCCTTCAGAAAAATATTGAATGCGTATTTTTTGTTGCGAGGGTTTTTTTTTTTTTAATACGAGGGCCTTTACTGAGGAACGTGGGATTTGGGATTAGGAGTGCAGCGGGATATGGTGTCTGTCACGTGTGTGATAAATAATCTGTCAGATGATGCTCTAGCAGGAGCCTTGGGTGTTTTCTGCAGTCATGAAGACACAAATCAAACCCAACGCTGGTGCAGAAGTTCAAGGAACAGGGGGTTTCCTTCCATGTATTTTTGCTTGGTATTTTGTGGTCTGTGATGTTGCTGCTCTGCCCATATTTTATATGTCAGGGCTTTTTTCTGTGCTCTAGGAAAGAACCTGCGTAGATTGGAGCTCTCCCTGGGGTTTTTCTCATGGGGATTGGGAAGAGGTGCCAGTTAAGAAAGTCAAGTTCATGTCTGCAATTCGCAGAAGAAGCTAATTTTGCTTTGTGTACCTCCTGTGTTTCGATGATTGCCCTAAAGTGGGTGAGTGATTGTCCGTAAAAGTGCTCTTAGAGGTGTTCCTGTAACCAGTCAGGAATTACTGAAGATCTTGAGGGATGTTGCAGGACCCACCGGCCTTTTGTGGCCATGTGATTCACCAAGGCTTTTGCAGCTGCAGTTCATTTTTCTTCCACCCAGTACAGTTCTTTAAGGCCTCTAAAAACATCCTTTGGCTCAATTAGGGAGATGTGGAATTAAGAAAGAATACAAAATGTTTAAAAAAAACCACCCCACAACAACTCCAAACCTCCCCCCCCTTCTGATCCAGCCCCTGTGAAAAACAAATGTGATTTAATCTGTCAGGAAAACATTGCACGGGGAGCACGAGGAATAAAGTGACGTCCAGTGGATTCCTCTCCCTGGAACTCACGTGCCTTGTTTTCCTCCACTCGCTGCGTGTTCAGAATTTCCACATCTTGTGATCTGGCCTTTCCCAGTCAGGATTATGGGCTGAGAAGAGCAGTAGGAATTAAGCAGCTGGAATTCCTGATTGAACTGGTGGTGCTGTTATTTGTTACAATGCCTCAGTTTTTGGTTGATGTGATGATTTCATCGTCTGGATTGCTCAGCCTTTGGGCATTTAACGGGAGCTGAGGGCCGTGTGACGGACCCAATCTTTGTTTCTCAGGTAGATAACAATTTTGGGAGGAACATATTGCTGCCTTTACAGCGAATAAAGCAAATTGTTTATGTTTTAGGACTGTAGATAACCCCCACCTGCCACTCGTGTGATTGTAGCTTCTCTCTATCCTTCCAACAGTTAAAGTACAGGAGAAAATCAGTGTGTGAACGTTTGGCTGTGTGCACACAGTGAGGCCTTGCATAAAGGGGGAAAAATATATATATATTTCTAAATATTTTTAAAGCAATGTCATGTAGGCACAGAAAGAAACACTGGCCAGGGATGCTGGGCTGTGTCTGGACACTCAAGTGTGGGTGACTTGTCTGTGACCAGTGGTGAGCTGGGAGGGGACCAGAAACTGCACAGGCTTTTTTTTTTTTTTGGAAGAAAGAAAGTCTTTTCTGGGTTATTGGCCAAGTGTCAGCATTCCAGGCACTGCAGATGTCAGAGCCCAGAAATCCTTGGAAGGATTGGACACCAGAACTTGCTGAAATGAGAACTACTGTGGAGCTTTTGCTCTGATTTGTCAGTGCTCTGGTAGGATGTGGGTAACGATGGGGGTAGAGCTTGGACAGCATTGCTGTGGGAACTAAGATTAGAGGGCAGCTCAGCTGGGAATTTGTTGCCTGAGCTGATGCTTTTTCCCTTCCAACCCTTCTGGTTAGTGGTTGCAGTGCTTTAATTAAGAGCTGGGCTGCCCTCCAGACAAAGCCACCTGGCTCCGGATTTGCTCTTGGAGTGGAGCAGGATTCGTAAATCTTAAGAAATGCAAACTTTCTGGTGATTAAGAAAACCTCGAGGGAGACTTTGCCTGTGTTCAGAAAAGGACTGTGGCAAGAATTTTCATTTCAAAATGTCAGGTCTTGTTGCATTTCTTTGCCCTCTCCCTCCAAGTGTTTAATGTGGGCATATGTGTTCCACCAGCGTGGCCAGGGAGAGGAAGCCAGAGGGTGGTTGTTTTCCCCAAATAATTCATCTGTTCTTGCCATGTGTGCATCAGGAGAAGGCAATTCTTACATCATTCTTACTGGGGGAATATAGGGAATGGTTTTAATTAATTAAATGATAATGATATTCCATCACTGGAGTTGAAAACTGCGTGTCTCTTCACTTCAGTGCCTCTTGCTGCTGCTGTTGCCTGTAGGTTTGCTGTAGTAATTCCTTCTTTTCACACCACTTTGGGTGGCATTGCTGCTTTTTTCTTCAGCCAGAAGTGCCTCTGTTAAAAGGCTGGGGTGGCTCTGCAGTTGGAAAGCACCTTAAGCAAGAGTTTAGTCCCAAGAAGGGTGTTTTGGTGAGGTTTGATTGATGCTGCACCTGGTGGAATGTCCTGGCTCTGGTGGGGCAGTAGCCAAATACTCAGAGAAGTCATGAGAAATTGGACAGGTAAACTGAATTAAAAAAAAAAAACAAAAAAAAAACACATAAACTTTGCAAGTCTGTGTTTAGGAGTGGGGGAAGAGGGAGACCTAAAATATTCCATGTGCGTTGGGTTTTCCTAAACACTCCATTTCAAACAGCAGCTTCGAAGATTAATTTTGTTTAAGCAGAACTCATTTGAACAGGGATTTTCAGGATACTGTTTTAACTGTAAATAACTAAGATGCTTACATAAACTCAGCGAGCCCCGTTGAAAGGGAGTGGAAAAGTTTGGAAGAGAAGGAAGGCTGTGTGTGGGAAGGCAGGAAGGAGAGGTAACAGGCAGGTCAGCAGCAGCTGGGAGTTTAAAAACAACAGAGAGCAGCTCCATTTAAATCAGTTCCCGGTTCTCTAAAGGTGACTGGGCAGAAATAACGGGGGCAAGGGGTGAGAACGGCTCATTAAGTTGACGATGCTCTTTGCAGGACTGCAGCCTGTAGATGGAAAAAAAAAAAGCAAACAAGAACTGATGGGCTTTGTCTTCTAATTAGCTCTTGTCAGGGTCCAAATAGGATGGCAAAGGGCTCCTCAATTTGACCAGACCAGAAGTGCTCTCATATTGATGACGAGGACAGTTCTGTGCCATTCACTGCATTTCTTTGGCAAGGAAATGTGGGTTGTTTGGGGCTTTTCATTCTTTTTATTCACTTTTTCGCTTTTTCACTTTAATCACTTCGGCCTTGCAGATCAAACGTTCATCTCGGGTTTTTTATTTGAAGTGTGATTTTTCTACAGGAGCTGGTTGGCTGGTGGGATCATCATGAAATAACAATATGTAGATTTAGTAATTAAAGTAGGAGGCATCGAAATGCATTATCAGCTTGTTGGTTTCTGCTGGTGAGAAAGCAATTTAAAGAGAAATAGGAATCTTCTTGAGCGTGGATGGGATCTTTTATTCCTTAATATAGATGGTAGTTATGTGTTCAAGCAATGCTTTGTGTGTAAACTGAAGCTGCTGCTGCATTTCCTAACGTTTGGGTGTAGAACCGGAGAAAAAGAATGCGTGGGAAAACTTCTAATAGAAAATGAGTTCGGCATAAAAAGCAGGGAGGTGCTTCTGGTGGTTATTTGTTGTAAATGCTGCTGACCCTGAGTGATGGTCCCTTGCTGTTGGGTTGGTTTCCCTGCTGCTCCTGGCACTGCTGTACCTGCAGCAGAGAACACAGCGGTGATCTCACCCGTGCCGTGTGTTCCCATCTCTCTGTGCTCAGGCTGCAACTCGGCAGGACATGACCTACTGGCTGCAGGAGCTGCAGCAGAAGAGGTGGGAGTACTGCAACAACCTGGACGCTGCCAAGAGGGACAGCAGGACCTCCCCCACGCCCAGCGACTTCTCCAGAGGGCTCGTGGCCAAAGACCATCCCGGTACGTTGGGAACGGGGCTCACACCACGAGGATTTCCCTCCTCAGCATCAGCCCACCAGTCCCAGCTGGGCTGGGAACAGCCTGGGAAGGTTTTATGCACATCTTGCTAGCAAGTAATTTTATATAAACTTTGTGTGATGCTATGATTATTTAGCAGAAATGTCATTTTATGTGGGGTTTCGTATCTCTTACAAAATCTGTGGATTTCCTGACAAAAAATATTTTAGGAAATGAAGTAAAAACGGGGTAGTCCTGGGACTTGAGTTTCATTAAGCACAGCTTAGATTAGGCAAGTTGTCTTGGAGTGGTTGCAGTATCTTAGTGTAGCAAATATCCTGAGATGTGAACTCCAGTTTTTAGTGAGAACAAGTGTATTTTGGGTTCTGAATGACCAGACTTTGTTTTCTGGAAAGTGTGGTGTGCTGGATCTGTCACACTGTGACAAAAGTCTTGCCTTTTAAAACTGGAAAACAATTTGTCCTGATACTGCACAAGTGAAATTCAGTCTCTGTAGTTTGTTTAGGCAAGGAAAATTTAATTTCAGTGTCAGTTATAAAAACGTGTTGGTGTGTTATACGAAGCTCTTCTGTATTTTTTACTGCATTGCTCAGGCACTTGTGAATTGTTTCATTTCTGAGCCCTCACAGAAACGGATTGCTTGCTGGTTTCTGTTCTCCATAAATAAACCCGAGTAAAATCCTGTTCTGTGCCAAGTTAGGCATTAGTAAAACCCTCTTGGGTCAGATATATTTCATCCCCACATTTCACATTTGGTTGCTGGGCAATCAGGTGACTGCCAGAGCTGATGGAAAGGAGGGAACGAGGCAGAGTGGAAAACACAGGCAGGCAGAGCAGAGGAGTGGCAGCCCTGCCCTCTTGGCAGCAGATTCTTTGGATCAGATCAGCTGGAATATGTAACTTGGCCACAAATCCATTCCTTCTTGTTTGTGCTGCTTCCCTCAGAGCTGGGGTACAGCGGGAAATGAACCTGCTGTCACTGCACCACGTGCAGGTGCTGCTGCCTCCCTCCAGCTTGGCAGCAGAGCCAGTAATTCAGTCACTGAGCTGGTATTTTCCTGCCCTCTAAGTTACTGGGGGAGTTTCTGGATGAGTAAACTGAACTTCGTAGTGTGATTTTTTTTTTTAATTTATTATTGTTTTTAAATCCAGTACAAGGAATGTCAAGATAAAATACAGGGGCTAAATAGACCCATCCCTTTCAGGGACAGCCTGAAATGTTAATGCAGTTAAACTGCATTCTGTGTCATTTGGAGCTGCATCTTGAGCATCTCATTTTTTGGGGCAGATCACAATGATGGCTTTATCATCAACTCAAGTGTTTAAGTGGGAATTCCTTCTGGGGGAAATGCAAATAGTGATTGATGATTGTTCCTTCTTTTTAATCAAGTGCTCCAGAAGTTTCCTGTAGAATTGGGGGATTCTCTAAGGCTCTGGTTTGGTGTTGATTATTAAGCTGTGCTTTGTACTGGAGCAGAGAAATTGGGCTGTTTTGCTGGGTGCAGATGCTCTCACTGATGTTTTAGAAGGGAAAGTTGTCTGTCTTCAGTCCCAAACCAGAGCTGCCTGCTGGCACCTTGCCTGTTCTGTCCTCTCCCTGTCCTGTCCCCTCCCAGGTTGGAAATCTGGACTGACTGGGGACATAAAGCCAAGGTGCTGCTTAGTGGATCAGCCTTGAAAGGTTTGGAAGAACATTCAGTGGAGTGAAAATTACTTTATTTTTCAGAGCAGGACGTGGGAAAGTTCATCTTCCAAAAATTAGACTGTAGGATTTGTCATGGAGCTGCCTTGCAGCCGTGGAAGTCAAATTATTTATTCCTTATAGGGTATGGGATTATTTTTTTTTTTCTTGAAATTATTTGAATGTTAACATAGGTTTTATAATTTCAGTTCTTGGCTTTGTTATTCCTCCACTCTTAATTTGCATAAATAAAAAATGCAGTGCCACGCATCTCCAAGATTGTTGTGTTTTGAAACGAGTTTAAAAACGAGATATCGTTGTATTTTTTTTTTACATGCTGATTGCATTGACGAGCAGGTGGATGAGTTGTGCTCTCCTGCTGTGCAGTCCCTCCCTCTGACCAAACCACTGGCAGGGGATGGAGTACAACCAGTGACCTCAGGCTCAGCCAGCACTGGCAGGTGTTGTGAGGGGAAATGCAGGTGTTAAAAACTCAGCTCTTGAGCAGTTCCTGCACCTGAAAGGGAATTTGGCAGCTTTGGTAAATCATACAGGTAGAATGTCAGTATTCAAGCCTGGCTTTGGGTATCCATGAGTTGTTGGTCTGTGTGTTTTGTGGTTTGAGGGTTTTTTTGTTTGTTTGTTTGTTGCCTTTTGGGATGGTGTTTGGGTTGTTTTTTTGGTTTGTGTGGTTTTTTTTTCTTTGGTTGGTTTGGTTTGGGGTTTGAGCGGTGTTTTATTTTTTAGTTTTGGTTTTGTTTTCATTCAAACCTGTTGCCTTTGCCCTTCATTAGACAGTGAATATGAGCAAAAGCTGGTTTTAGCTGAACTGTGCTCAGCTCAGCCACAATCCCAAAGAACTTGGAGCTCTGCTTGGCTGATAAGGCCCTGAAGCATCTGTTCCCAAAAAATCAAGGCAGTGTAACTTGTACTTGTGTTTGAAACACCCCATGATCCACTTCTGTGGCAGATAGACCATTTTTCAGGGGTTGGAGAGATTTGTGGTGTCAGTGATCTTTTATACTTTGTATTCTTTATCACAGAATGTGCTTTGTGCTTCTGATCTTTGATAGGGCTGAATAAAAGGAACCCTCTGAGTAATTGGAGGGCACAGTTGGCTTCAAGACGGGCTCGCTGCTTGTGCCAAGTGATGGTCAGAGCGAGGGCTGAAAGGCTCCCCAGTGATAAAAGAGGGCAGCAGGATCTCCAAGGGTTTTATTAAAATCACAGCCCCTCCCAGTGTGTTACTTCCTAATGCTGAACAAGTCTGAGAGTGTTGTCAGAAAATCCTTAATCCTTCCATACTTGGTGAATTATTTCGAGGAGAATCTGAAAATTGTATTTGAGTTGTTTGAGTTTCTGTCTTGTGGCACTGTTCCAGGCTTACCAGAGCTAAGCCTGAGCTTGTTTTACAAGGGGGTTTTGCAGGTTAATGGAATGATGAATCACCTTTAATTTTGATGGCTTTTATAGCTGCCTAAGCTGGATGAATCGATATTGACTCGTTGAGATTGTAAATCGCTGAAACAATGCTTCCTGAGCATCACACAGGTCCTGTCATCCAAAGTGTGTGGCTGTGGGGAGAGCTCACTGAGCAAAACAGTTGGCTATTTTTAAGGTTCATTTGAACAGAATGTTTTATTAAGTTTTGTTGCAATTTACAATAAAACCTGACCTCCCTTGCTAGCAGGCTTAGCAGTATATGATTTACCACTTTCTTTTATTTATTGAAGGGTTTGCCTATTTTTCTTTTCCTTTTTTTTTTTTTCTTTTAACACAGATTTGAGTATCCTGAGTCAAAATGCATCAGCAGAGAGAGCTCGAAATATTCTAGCTGTGGAGACCTCTCCCACAGACCTGGTGGGGGAACAGGCAGCTTCCCAACCCGCCCCAGGCCAAGCCAGTGCCATCAATTTCTCCCTCAAACAATGGAGCACTGAACTCAAGTGAGTTGGGAAGGTGGGAGGAGGAGTTTCCAGGAGATGGGTGGGTGGGTGGTTGCTGGTTGAGACTGTTCCCTGCTGACAGACGGGTGTGTGTGGTGGGTGGATCGGCACAGGGGTATCTCTTCAGGTAAACACTTTATTTTACTTACTGTTTGAAGGGTGTGAGTGAGAACATCGTGAGTGAGACCTGAAAGGGGGGACTGGGGTTTTGGAAAGCACTTCTAGGGAGGGCTCTGCCCTCTGAACCCGAGCAGGGAGCTGGCAGTTGGATCCTCAGCTGCTTTTCCCTGGAGCTGCCCGTTGCAGCACTGTAGTGTTCAATGCATAGCAGCTGTTTTTAATGATCAAAATCAGAGCAGTGTAAATCCTTACTGCTCATCTGCTCCTTCAGATAAATGAAAGCACGTGGCACAGATTCGGAGTCGATGCGGTTTGAATTCCTGAGCGAACCTGTGGCAGATCCTTTCTGAGCAACGTCAAATCCCTCCCTCACAATGAGAGAACTCTCCATAATAACTGCTTGGAGGGAAGCAGCTCTGCTGCCTTTCAGCTCTCCTCTTACAGTTTCTTTCTCAGTGATTTTACCCTTTGCTTTCCCCACACACATTTTCCACTTGCACTCGAGGGCTGTTCCGGTGCTAGAGCAGAGCTGTGGCTCTGGTTAATTAGACCACAGCCCTCCTGAGCTGGAAGATGTTGCTCATTTTCAGCAGCAGGGCTGAGTCAAACAGATGCCTTTTAAAGCTTTCTTGTTTAGCACAGAGATCTGAGAGGTTACAAAGTGGTGTTGGTTTTGGCTCTTTTTCTGGCTCCTTTTCTGCTGTTGGTTTTGGCTCTTTTTTTGGCTCTTTTTCCCTGTTTGTCTTTTTTTTTTTTTTTCTTTCCCTCTACTGTGTAGACTGTAACTGAAGTTCAGAAAAGATGGCTTATGGCTGGATTGAGAAATATGTCAATCCTGTTACTACATGTCGTGTTCCAACTGATAATATTGTGTGGTTGCTCTGGTAAAACTTAAACTTGGTCACAATAGAAGGAAGAGTACATGGAACAATTTCTGTCTGGCCAATTCCTGTATGCTGGAAACGAGTTGTTTTTTTTTTTTTCTTGATTTTTGCTGTGTTGGTGGGGGTTTTTTTTTGGGGTGGCTTTCTCTGAGTTGCAGATGCCCTGCTCTGGGGAAGCCCAGCTGGGAGGGCAGTGCCAGGGAGAGCTCTGCTCCTCCTGGCATGAAGTCCTTGCAGGTCTCAGGAGTCGCCACGTGGTTCTCTCCCAGCTCAGAATATCCTGTGACTCTGGGTAAGAATCTGTGATTCTGTGTGAGAAAATCTTCCCCTGCAGCTCTGGGAGGCTGAATGCCACTAACCAGTAGGTCAGGAGCACTTCAACTCCTGGATCCAGGAAGGTAAATTTGTTTGGAGACTTGAGTCTGGAGCAGTTTTCACGAGAGAGATTATTTTTGTTTCAGCTTAGGTTTGGTTAGGGACCAGTGAATTTTCCTTCTAAAGGCTGTCCTCAGCTGCTCTAGAGTGAGTGGAGGGCAAGAATAATCCTAATTTTGATTGATTTTGTGTAGATAACGATCATTTGTACGTGTTTCTCCTGAAATGAGTGATGCCCAATCAATAATCCAAATTCCTCACTAATGATGCAGCCTTTCCTACTTTGGTTTGTGCTCAAACCAGTCTGAACAGAATTCCTGGGGGGAAAGTACCTGAGTCTTGTTCTTTAACATATGAGGCCTCATTTGTCACTTCTTGATTGACAACTGATGGTTTAAAGCCTTGTCCTTCCTCCTGAGCACGGTTGGGGTGTGTCTGGCAGCGAAGCTGTTGCTGTCCTAGCTGTGTTTGCATCCCAGGCAGTAGTGGGGAAGGAATTATGGGGGGAAAAAAAATTAAGACTATGTCTTGAAGTTAAGCTGTGTCTATATTTGCAGTAACTAAAGCTGCAACACTCTTTTCTGCTTTTCAGAATATATTTTCGAGTGCTAGTTAACATATACAGACATTTAGGCCTGAGTTTTTTTTAATCTTCCTGCTCTCAGCTACTTATATCTCTTATTTATGCAGAATGAAGACTTGGAAATGTCCTGAATTATAGTAACCTCAAGGTATAGAACCATAAAATATGACTTAAACCCCCAAACATTTAAAAATAGTGACTCATTAGATCACATGATCAACTCTTGGGCAGATTATCTTTTCGTACTGGTCATAGTGTGCTTAGGAAAAGAAACATTGTTTTCAAATTTAACTGTCTGGTCTTTGAAGCTCGTTTTAATTAATTAGAAAGCCATGAGTGCCCTGGACAAACCTGTGCAAAAGCTTTGCAAAGTAGAGCATCAGCTGGGATTTTTCATGGGCTCAAAGGCAGTTTTTTTAAGCAGCTTTTCCAGCAGTCACTTGAGTTCTTGTTGTTTGTGATGGAGAGGTGGCAGATGACACTTGTTGATTTGAGTGCCCTGGGAAATGTGTCAATCACTGCCCAATTGGATCTGTTTAATTTCCCTGGAATGAGAGGGGCTTCTTGCCCCCAGCAGAAACTGTGATTCTTTCTGGGTGAAAATGAAAGTGTGGCATAAATCAGTCTTTGGCAAGTGTGTAAATTGATTGCTGGAATGGCTTTATTAATAACCCGTAGGGTTGTTTTTAAGCTGTACTTAAATATTTCTGGGTTCATCAGATTGTAAATACCTTGCTCTGCATAATGATTAGTTTAGAGTTCACGTTGATCAGGTGTTAAATCTCTTGTGAAGCTGGAAGACTGGCTTGGGTCTGACGTCATCTTGCAAGTGTAACGTGGGTTACCTTCTGCTTGAGATTTGAAAAGTAAGGAGAGAGAATGTGTGGCTGAGTGAGTGAGAGCATCTTTGTGGGCCTGCACAGACTGCAGGGAAGATGCCGAGATCCCAAATACATTTCCAGTTTTAATACCTGAGAGGTTAAACTGATTCCTGGGGATTGGTGTGGAATCTGCTTGTCTGGTTGAGCGATTTACAATACTGAGCCGTGCTAACACTCACGGACATTAGAGTGGACATTTCTGATGGCACGCTGGTTGTGGAGGAAGCTGGGTAAGGTCAGCTCATCCTGCTGGGAAATGGATTGTTCTTCCATGGAATTATCTGGCTGGAATTCAGAGGGTGCCTCCGAAATGTTCTTGCAGATAATTGGCCACGTTCCACCTTAGGGACAGGAGAGCTGCCCAGGAGTCTGTCATCAGTGATTCAGCCCCAGCAGGTCTCTGGGGTGATCCCAGGTTGTGCATTAACCCAGGATGTGGCGCTATAACATACATGCATGCTGTTCACTTCGCTGCCTGGCAGTTCCCCTGAAGTTCTAAGCTACAATAACTGATCAGTAAAGAGGTGCTGCTTGGAAATCCTAATTTTTTGTCCTTCCCCACTGCCAAAACAGAGGGGGATGCAAAAGACCTTAGTGGTCTCCTAGAAATTAATATCCCAATAAAACAAAACAATTCCTCTGTTGTTGGAAGCTGCTGATGGCAGGTGCTGTTTGGTGGGATATGCTTCATTATCTTTGAGCTTTTATTTGGTGTTGGTTTGTTTGGTGTGTGTTTTAGCTTGTTTTTACTCTGCACTGTTTGACCTGGTAGTGCCTGCCTTGCAAAGCCCTTTACAGAGCGAGTGCACAATGCAGAAATCCTTGTCAGCTTTTCCTGCTGCCTTTTCCCCAGAAATTCCATGTCCTCCCTGAGGAAAGGGAACAACGAGAACCGCAGGAGCGTCTTTTACACCAGCGAGGAGTGGGAGCTGCTGGATCCAACCCCCAAAGACCTGGAGGACTCCATGGCTCTGGAAGAGAAGAGGAAACACCTGGCAGAAGGAAGCAAAGGTAGAAGTTGGGAGGAAGGAAAGGGAGCTTTTGCTGTGCTATGTCTGTCTCTAGGAAATAGTGGAAGCTTCTTTTCACAAACCACATCCAGAGCTCTGGAAATTGTTTTGTCAAAACTAATTCCTTAGGATGTGTTTGGAGTCTTCTGCCATTCCAATACAATAGAATGAGGACAAAGCCTTGTTATCCACTGTTGTGGTTTCCTGAGCACGTTACTGGCTTTAGTTGTGTCACTTGACTTGCAGAGTTAGGAGGTGAAGGGAAATGCTGAGGCTTTAATTGCTCAGTTGAGTGTCACTCCCTGAAGCAGAACTGCCTTTAGACTCTGTGTAAGTTGTAGGTGTTATACTGTCCTGCTTCTGAAATGGGGGGAAAAAGTAGGGGATGCACGTGCAGTGACAGCTCATCTGTGAATTGTAACTGGGTCTCAAATGTGACCAGTCTGCTATAACCTTGTGCAGATGTTTTTACAGCTCCTTTAGAGCACTTCAGCTGTAATCCAAGTGACCTGATCTGTTAGAAAGCAGTCCTTGTCCCTGAGCACTGCTGTGTGGCTGTAAATGGAGGTGAATTGTTCCCCCAGTGCCTCTTCCAGGGGCAGTGGGCTGTGCTATCAGGGATGGGTTTGCTCTGACCACTTTGGAGCTGTTAATTACTTGAGGCAAACTTTACTTAGCCATAGTTAGGGGTGCCCTTTATTTTGTGTAATAAATTAGCACTTGGGAAGTAAGAGAATTTTACAATTCACGAGCCAAGTCTTTTGTGTGGGAGGGGAGGAGACTGTGAGCTCTCTGCTTTTCCCACCAAAGGAAGCAGCTTGGAAAACGAGGCCTGTCCAACTCCATTGTATTGGGGCGCTTCAGAGGCTGCTCGGAGCCCGAGGTTAATGAGTGTATTTTCTAAAGGAAATCTGAATGCTTTGAAACGCCTTTTTTTACTAAGTGAACCCAACTAGAAGGAATTGTTTCATGCAGGACTGACTAGTTCAGCTTTTCCGTTTGATTTGGGCCGCATCCCACACAAAGCCAGGCGCCCCTTGCTGAAGGACATGATCGGATCCAGCAAGAGCCGCGCCGGCAGCGACTCCTCCCCCACGGAGTGGTGCTCTGGCAACGGCAGCAAACTGGTGTCTGAGCTGCAGCTGAAGTATCAAAGCCAGCAGGAAGAGCTGGAGAAGCTGAAGAAAGATCTTCTGAGCCAAAAGGTAATTAGGCTTTCAGGCAAAGTGCCCGACGCAGGTGGATCTGGCAGGTGATTGATTGTGTGTTTCGCCTTTCTGGCCCTCGAACTGAGCTGGTTGGTTGGTGGAAAAGGATGGTGCTAAACAAACCTTGGTGCACAAAGAGTCTTGAGACAAGAAGGACCATTTTTACATCTGTTGAAGATGAGATGGCTGAGCAAAACTTTCGTTTGCACGGTGTTCATTACCTTGGTTTGTGTGTCTTCCTTATCCTCTGAAGTTACTTTGTTCAGTGTCTGCCACGATCCCAGCAGGTAGACACAGCTTCTTGTTCTTTTAGTACTTATAATTCCTGAGAAACTCACCCTTTCAGCTTCTCTGTGTTTGTTTTTTGATTCTCTCTCTCAGTGCTAGAGAGAGGTTGGGGAATGGGCCTGACTTCTCTCTGTCCTAACTGCTTCATCAGGAGTGGTTTTGCAAAGGGTAGCTCTAACCATAATCATTTACAAACTATGCATGTAGTACTGCACTCACACAGTGTTCATGGTTGCCTCATAACTCCAATTTTTCAATACCTTGCTTTATCTACAAGAATTTCTACTCATTTTAAGAAGAATAAATTTTATGGAGCTGCTGTTTCTGCCATTTGTATTTTCTGTTGTGTGAGATGATCCAAGGGAATCCAAAGAAGGAATGTGAGCCCCATGGTTATAGTCATTTTAGGAGTTATCTTTCCCAGGAGCACATTTGAGCTCCCGAGCCAGCTTTTGAAAAATCTCACTGGTCTAGTGCCACACTGTGTTCACAGTTGCTGCTGGTTTAATAAGAAGGCAAAGAAAAATGGTGTCTTGGGCAGTTGCTTGTGTGTCAAGACTTTCCAAACAGCCCTCTCAAGACTTCCTTTTTGGCAAAGCAGCGTGAATAGTTTCCTGCTCTTATTTTCTCTGTCTCTGTGAGAGAAGAGCTGTTACTTTGCCTTTTCCATTCTGGAATGTTCACCTGTTAACCTTTGGGGCTTAAGCCCTCTCCTGTTCATCTGCCCACAACAGGGCTGCTTGAAGGGAGGTTTTTTTCAGCTTCCAAGTTACTGCTGGGCCACAGCTGTCCACACCCTTTTCCTTAGGCTGTTAGAGCCTTTCTGGGCAGGGTCATTAGCTCAGTGAAAGACATTTAAACCCTCTGGGTGGGTCATTCACTGGAAGGTTTTAATCTGCTGGAAATCATGTCATGTAAGTGTTCCCCGTTTTCCTTAAAACACCAGCCCGAGGTCTCTTAAAAGCTGATGATTCGGATTAAAAACCCATTCCAGAGCTTGCTTTTGTTCGATGTTAACTTTGTAAGACTTAGAAACTTAAAACTTGCTGGTTTTTTTTTGGTTTTAATTGTCAGGAACTCGTTCGACTCCTGCAGCAAACAGTCCGCTCCTCCCAGTACGACAAATACTTCGCCAGCCGCCTCTGCGAGGGGGTTCCCAAAGACAAACTAGAGCTGCTGCACCAAAAAGACGACCAGATTTTGGGTCTCAACAATCAGCTGGAGAAGTTGAATCTGGAAAAGGACAGCCTCCAGCAGGAAGTGAAGAACCTGAAATGCAAAGTCGGAGAGCTCAATGAGCAGCTGGGTATGTTGATGGAAACTATTCAAGCTAAAGATGAGGTGATCATGAAACTCTCCCGGCAGCTCAGTGAGTGTGAGGACAGTTCATCCTCTCCAAGTGGAGCAGTAAATTCTCCCACGGCCACCTGTGCTAATAAGGACCTGCAGGAGCTGGACAGACTGAAAGTAAGAGCAATGTCTCTGTCTCACTGCATAGGGGACTCTGTACTCCCTGTGAAAGTGTTTTCAGGCTGCTGTGCTGGTTGGGGTCACTGCAGCAGCTCCCCAGGACCTTCCTCAGCTGAGGCTTTCTCTGCTTGGCACCCTCACTTGGAGTGTCTGGGACAATCTGCCAGAACTCCTCTCCTTTGGGTGCTCTGTGCACCTCTAGTGCAGGGAATTCATCACTGCTGGGGAGGAGCAGGGATATGAGAAATAATCAGGGAAAAGCGAGTGCAAGAGAGGAAGACATCAGCATGGGGGAAAACAAACGAAGTTTGCTTTTTTTAAAAAGATTTTCAGTAGCAAAACTGAGGCAACAGAGCATGTGGAATGGCAAAGGAGGCACAAAGGAGTTTAAGAACCTGTTTTACTGATGCTCCTACACGTCTTATTAATGCCTTTTTTTTTTTTAACCTCAATGAATGTGTCACAGGTTCTTAATGGAGTTACTGAAGTTACCACTTTGCTCTAAACATGCTTTTTTTTTTTTGCCTTTGGATAAATGTATTCCAAATCGATTAACATTCCAAGGAATTTGGAATACGAGTAAGTAATTTAAAATATGCATAACCTTTCATCATTTTCTTTCCTATAGGAGACCCTGGTAAGTTTTAAAACTGATCAATGCTATTAGTAGCATTTAAATGCTGTTTAAAAATGCTATTTCCGAGTTCTAAGGTGTGCTTTCTCTGGCAGGCATTTGTAAAATATTTTTATTAAAAATCCAGTTTGCCTTTTTTTTTTTTTTATCCTTTTTTTTTTAATCAACAGGACAATCTTCAGGGTTATAAGACCCAGAATAAATTCTTAAATAAGGAGATTTTGGAACTTTCTGCTCTACGAAGAAACGCAGAAGCGAGAGAGAGAGAATGGCAGGCAAAGGTCAGCCTAACACAGCACGTTCTCCCTTTGGAAAGGTCTCAAATGTTTCCAAAATTTCAGCTGTAAATCTACCTAGGAAATGGAACAAGTTAAAAATCCCCCTTAACTCGGTCCTCACAGACCAATCTTTCTGAATGGATTCTGGAAAGCAGTAATTTGCTTTAAAATTGCGTGCAAGTTTCTTGTAACGTAGGAACACAGGCACGTGGATTTCTCTGAAAATACTTCCTCAGAATTCAGGCTGGGATGGGTTTTTTTGGACTGTGTCAGTGACAGGACGTCACTTTGGGAGCGTGGTCCTCTGTGGATGAATTTGAGTGTAGAGATGTTGCAGGTGAATAATGAATATTTCCATTGCCTGGGGGCTGGGACAACGCACACACCTGCAGCGATGGCTTGGTAGGCTTTGCCTCTGGTTTTTTTTGGAAGCCAAGCACACAGTGGCCAGGTTGAAATGCTGTGTTTTTGGCATGGAGGTGTGTGTGTGTTTACAGCTCCTCCGTGCTGTTGCCCAACTCGTGTCTTTAAAATGCCATTTGAGGGGTTCTTGTTCCAGCACGCACAGGCTGAAGCTGTTCTTTGGAAAGCACCAAATGTTCCAGTCGTATTTCATGCAGGGTGGTGATAATTAAAGCTGGCTCGGGTTTTCCACCTGCAAAAAAGGTACATCTGGTGGAAAACATCAGCTCTGCTTTGCTGCCTTATGTTTGCTGGTGCCACACAAATGGGAAAGTCAAGCTGACTGTTCCTAACTTACAGGTTTGTGAGCGACATAAACCAACAGAATCAACACTGAACCAGGTTCTCAAAGAAGTGTAGCATAAAGTAAAATGTCTGAAGACTTATATAACATATTGTTTTCTGCAGTACACCAGCTTGGAAGCCAAACTCTGCCAGATCGAAAGCAAATACTTGATCTTGCTTCAAGAAATGAAAACTCCGGTGTGTTCTGAGGAGCAGAGTCCCGCTCGGGAGGTCATCACGCAGTTACTGGAAGATGCCTTGAAGGCAGAAACCAGTGAACAGCCAGAGCAGGCCTTTTTCAAACCACACCTGGTCAGGTAAGTGTTAAAATAAATGTCTGTGTGTTTTGGTCAGTGAAGGGGCTTCAATCCCAGCAGTGAAAATCTCTGGTGTTGGGGGTGGAACTGCCAGAGAGTCTCCTGAATGGTCAGACTGGCAACTTCCCTTAACACATTTATGGTTTTTTTTGAGTTACAGTATAAAAGTCAGACTCAAATGTTGCCACAGAGGTGCTGAAGGTGAGTTACTGAAGAGATGGGTTTGTTTGAACTTGACCCCCGTTCTTAAATTGCCTAATTTGTGTGGTAATTATACTGGAATATGGACACCGAGTCTCTGGGAGATGGAATTGTGGAAGTAACTACCAAATAAAGGATATATTTCAGATAAACGTGTAATAATTGTTACAACTTGAGAACTACAGAGAGTGGCTTTGATGGGAACTGGGGAGTTTCAGGGCTGATGTAAACCCTCTTTTTTTTCCATTGCAGTGAATATGACATATATGGGTTTCAGACAGTCCCAGAGGACGACGAGGAGGAGAAACTCGTAGCAAAATCACGAGCTTTGGACCTGAGGTCGCTTTCCCTGAGTGAAAATCGAGAGATCTCAGCTGGAGTCAAGTGGGAGAACTACCTTGCCAGCACCATGAACAGGGAGATGATGCGCTGCGTGGAGCTGAAGAACCTCATCCGCTCGGGAATCCCGCACGAGCACCGCTCCAAGGTGTGGAAATGGTGTGTCAACCTGCACGTGAAGAAGTTCAAGGACAGCACGGTGCCTGGCTACTTCCAAACCTTGCTTCAGAACGCTCTGGAGAAACAGAACCCTGCCTCCAAACAGATCGAGCTGGATCTCCTGAGGACTTTGCCCAACAACAAGCATTACTCCTCCCCGACGTCCGAAGGGATCCAGAAGCTGCGGAATGTGCTGCTGGCGTTTTCCTGGAGAAATCCCGATATAGGGTATTGCCAAGGGCTCAACAGGTGAGACATTGCTGAGCTTGGTAATGAGCTTTTCACATCGCAAATGTAGCAACTGTGCTTTGGAAAGGGGGTTTGCCCTGTGGGCTGTCTGCTCATCGTTTACAGTGTTTTGATAAACAAATAATTAGCACCTTTTTTAAAGCAGTTAAAAAACCCAGCTGACCTGGATAATAGTGAATTTTGTAAAATCAACTTGGTAAAAAAGCTGGAAGTGGAATTAACTCCCATAAGAAATGGGCCACTCAAATGGAGTTTTACATCGACTCCATGTCAGCTGTAGGAGATTGAGCTGCCCGTGGGTGCAAGAATTTGTTAGTTTTTTTTTTTCTTAAAACAAGCAGAAATAAATGCTTGAAAGCTTTTTTTTTTTTTTTATGTTGTTAAGGCCACAAATTTCAGCTTTTCACTCTGAATGTCTTCCATCAGAATAGCAGAATTTAAAGGTGCTTCTCACGTTACAGCGCTAAGAAAGATTCTTAATTCAAGAATTAATTGGCCTTGGCCAAAATAACTTTACTTCTTGGAGACCTGCAGTGAGAGAAGGTGCTCCTTGAAGCAGGTGTGTCAGTCTAACACAACACCTTGCCTTGTCCCCAGGATGAAATACTGAAATACTGGAAAAACAAGTACAACACTGCAATATTACACTGTGAATGCTGTGTAATCATATTAGAGATGCCCATCTGTGCACTAATTTACCTACCAGAACAGCCTGATCATTTGGCAACTGCCCTGAGGGAGGGAGGGAGGAGGGTGGTAGCAGCAGTGAGTAATGGAGGAAGAAGAATTCATTTTCTGAGTATTCATCACTGGTGGTTACACTCTGTGGGTAAAATCACACATTTCTGGCACTGCTGCTGTCACTGGCACGTCACAGAACACGGCTGAGGAGGAGCTGTGGCAGTCTGGGAGCAGCACAAGTGACTAAGAAGGTGTTAGAAATGCCTTTGGTAAATTGGAACTGCAGCTTTACTCCCTCCTGGGACCATCTTGGTTCGTGTGAATTTTGCTGTATAAAAGATGTAACTTTTTACCTCCTGGGTGTGTTCAGTTTGGGGAAACCTCCACCTTCCACCCTGCCCAGAGTAAACAATCTCTCCTTTCTAAACTAGACTGTGTGTTCAGAGAGCTAAAATCAGCAGCACCAACACTGCAAGAAATTCTTAGAACAAGATCAGCCTTTAAAATACTTCAGGGCTTTTTATTTTCATTAGAAGATGATGGTGTTATTTATGTTAAGGGAGATAAATCCTTTCTAGCACATTTGCTTTTTCTAATCTTAAAACAACTTTGTGTGTAATTCAGGAGCCATCTGTTCTTTCTTCTCTTCAATAAGAAAAGACAAAAGTCTGGGCATCAAGGATTATATTTAGGACTTGGAAGCTTCCCATTATTTTGTCTTAGTTCCAGGGAAAATGGCTTTTAGAAAATCATTTAGCGTTTCCCTTTATCGGATTTGTTATTTAGGTGAATAAAAACACTTGGTGTGGCTGAGAAGGCCCTGTCTGAAACCTCAGTCACAGTTTTGATGTTTAGTGCTCTCCTGTTGATGCCTTTATCTCTGCTTTAATTTTTTAAAATAATTTTTTTTTAATAATTGCTTTATTGTAATGGCTGTTAGTACAGTTTGTGATGCTGTAACAATCTGTTTCTTCCAATTAACCCTGTTTTCAGGTTGGCAGCAATTGCACTTCTGTACTTGGAGCAGGAAGATGCTTTTTGGTGTCTGGTGACGATAGTGGAAGTTTTCATGCCTCGTGATTATTACACCAAGACCCTGCTGGGATCCCAGGTATGTGCTGTGCTCCTGGGAACTGCAAAGCTTTTTTTGGGGAGTGTTGAGTTGACAGGGGTGGGGTCCAGGCACCAGGGGAACCTTGTTTGGACGAGGATTGACACGGAAATAATTGTTCAGTGACCTGCTGGGAGCTCCAGCCTGGGAATGATTGCTGGAAAAGGAGGAGCAATAACAACCTGTCTGTCACCTGCTCAGGTTGATCAGAGGGTGTTCAAGGACCTGATGAGTGAGAAGCTCCCCCGCCTCCACGCTCACTTCGAGCAGTACAAAGTGGATTACACCCTCATCACTTTCAACTGGTTCCTGGTGGTGTTCGTGGACAGCGTGGTCAGCGACATCCTCTTCAAAATCTGGGACTCCTTCCTGTATGAGGGACCAAAGGTGAGCTGGGGTTGCTCAGCTGGTACCTGAGAAAAAACACTCTGCTGTTACTGAGCGATTTCACAAGAATCCTGTCGCTTAAAATCACTGGTAGGGATTTAAACAAACAAACAAACAAACAAAAAACAAAGGAGCAAATAAATGTGCAGAAATAACCAATCAAAGCATTTCCCGTTTTATCTGTGCTCTGCCAGTTAAGGGCTTGAGTTACATGGAAGAATTTTAAATGCAGGTATTTTTTTTTTTTTTGCTATCACCTTTTTATTCCCTTTGAAAAGCAGAAGTCCAGGCAATGCTGCTTATTCCTGTGCAGCTGTCAGTCATTTCATGTCATTATATCGAGATGAGAGCTACTCTTGTAAAGAGGAAGATGAGGTGATGGAGGCAGAATTTAGAAGTATTGAAAAGAGGTAAAAATTGCTGGTAACCAAGAGCTGATTTTTAGCTTTTCTCTGCAGCAAATGTTTGTTTTATCTCTGCAGACATTTAAAGCACAAATGACAAACAATGACTCTCTGTCATAAATTAAGGGGGGGTTTGAAAGAGTTTTCATTCTTCTGAAATTGCAGTGAAATAAAATCAGTGCAGGAAAGAGAAGTCGTTGGTTTCAAACACTAAAGTAGGTTTTGTCAGCAACTGGAGAGAGCAGGTGAGTTATAAAATCAGACAAAAACTGTGTGTGAGCTGATTTCTTGCTGGCCTTGGTTGGGCATTTGGGTGTTCAGTCCCAGCAGTGAAGCATCTTGGCATTTTGGGAATGCAGCCAGGTCCACACTGGCCAAGTTCAGAACTCACCAAAACCTTTTTGGAGCGAAGGGAAATAACGCTGCTTCCAGCTCAGGGGATGGACAAACTCATATCAGCAATTCCTTCAGCATCAGCTCCCCAGGGAAGGGGGAGATAGAGGGAGGTGTGATTAGAGAGCTCACAGGCAGCCTCTGTGAGAGCAACCCTTTTCCTTGGAGTTCATCCAGAGGATAACGAGAGCTGGTGCCTTCTGTGCTTCCAGATCCCAAATACTGTGTGTTTTACCAGGTAATATTCCGCTTCGCCCTGGCACTTTTTAAATACCAAGAGGAGGAGATCTTGAAGCTGCAGGATTCCATGTCCATCTTCAAGTACCTTCGCTACTTCACACGCAACATCCTGGACGCCAGGTGGGGAACTCGCACTGGGGGGGCACTGGAAGAGCTGGAAATGGGGCATGGGAGAAGCGAGGGGGGTTGTTTTGGTTTTGTCTAGATCCTAAATCAGGTGTAAAGCAACGAGGGGTGCGGCTGACTGGCAGGGTTTGCCACGAGCACTTTGATGAACTGGTGTTTGATGAGGTTCCCTGGCTTGGCCGTAGTGCAAGCAACACGTGGGTAATTTGAGCCAAAGTCTCCCCCTGCACTGCAGGTACAGCCTCAGTGAGCAGAATGTTTGCTGGTAAATAAAACCACGCCCTGGCTCGGGTGTTAAAAATGTGAGCCGTGTCCCTCAAGGCTCAGAGCTCCTGGGCATCATTTCTGTCCAGGCCACTGCCACTGGCTCAGCTGATTGTGAGGCACACTCAGAGGCAGAGGATAAACACAAGTTAGTCCTTGAATAGGACTTAGTTTGTAAATCAGGGTCTGCTGTTTTTAGGTTCCTTGTTTTCAAGACTAGAGCAGCAGATGAATCTTAAAAAGCCAGATTGGGATTGGTTTCATGTCTGAAAATATTCAGCACGTGCACTGAAGCTCACTGACTTTCAGTTTAGTGCACAATCACATATCGAAATCTGAGGTGGTTTTTTTTTTACTGTAATAAATTGCACATAAACTGACGCTTATGCTTTGAATCCTGCTGGAAGAGCTGTTTAATGTTTTTACTTCCTGTGTTTGTTTTGACTGGGGAGAAGTTCAAACTCAGTAATCTTACTCTGTGCTTGGAAAGGATTGCAGGGAGAAAAAAAATGAAATCTTTTTGTCCAAATGAGGTAAAACCAAAATTCTGATGTTTAATCAGAGGTGAAGATTTCGGTTTCCATTCCTTCTCTGCTTCTGGACGTGATGTCTTAGTTCTCCTGTCTCATCTTGCTGGTGCTGAAATAACCTATTTTAAAGGCTTCTGGTATTGCTGGAGGACACCTCGTTTTGCTGTTAATGAAATGAGCTGGTGGGGTATCAGTGGCAGATGGGGAGTTCAAGCGAGGACAGCACTCAGTGCAGTAAAAGATATATTTACAATAAATACAAATATGCTCTGTAAGCCTCTGCTTTTCTTAGGGCTTTGAAAGTGGGAGTTGTAAGCAGTGGTGCAGTGCCACCTAGGGAATAAGGATTTGCTGGGACTGACAGCAAATTGACTGACTGTGATTCAAACTGCCTGCTTTCTTATTTTTTTTTTTTTAATGTTTGTACAAGTTTAACAGCATCAAAATTTGGACAGTACAAAAGGTCGTACAATGATGTCCTCATGGACCAGAAGTCACGTTGTAGAGGAAAAATTCAGAATTTTTGTTTTTTTCTAATAGAATTCATGGGTGTCCTGAACAGGTTAAAAATCATTTTGCAGAGAGTTTTTAAGTTTAAAGTTTCTAGTAAAGTATCTACAAACATGTGCATGAGTGCCCTCTGGGCTGTAGGGTGTCATGGGTAGGTTTTTCTACAGATCCAAGTTGTGTTCCATGGCATGTTGTGCATGGGAAGAGAAGCTGTTGGAATGTGTTCTGTGCAGAAATAGCAGGAAATCGTTCTTGTTCACTCAAAAATACAAAACTGGTCTTAAGTCAACTGTCCAGACATGTTTTCCCAATATTTGGGTTGATCTAATAATTCAAGGAGAATAAATTGAATACTCGAGTTCCCCCTTTTTCCTTGGTAAACAGTGAGATATTTTTAGGTGTGGATCAGCAATAATGATGTATTTCAGTCTGTCTTTGGGCTGCTTAGACAGATGAGCTGCTGGGCGTGCTGTGACTGAAGGATGTGATGCAGCATCGTTTGGGAGGGTGCTGGATGGACCAAGTGTGGATTCAGGGAAGCTCTGACTGTCCCAGCTCGTGTCTTCTGCTCGCTGCTGTCAGGGCTGGGATCTCTGTAGCGTTAACACAGAGTTTGCAGGTGGCTTGTGAATCCTGAGCACTTGATAACACTTCCTTGCTTGAAATAACCTTAAAACTGAGTGCTTTGAAGAAATTTCTGGCCATGCTGCTCGCACTGCGTGAGAGACCAGAGACAGGACGTGCCGTAAGAACTGATAGGGATGAAGTTGAAAACTGCTTTTAAAAAGCCCCAAATGTGAATGATTGCCTTCTAACGGTGTGTAACCTTGCAGGAAGCTGACTGCCATCGCCTTTGGAGACCTGAACCCCTTCCCCTTACGGCAGATCAGGAACAGGAGGACCTACCACCTGGAGAAAGTGCGTCTGGAGCTGACGGAGCTCGAGGCCATCCGCGAGGATTTCCTGCGGGAGCGGGAGACGTGCGTGGAGAAAAGGGACCTCATCAGCGACGATGAGGAGGACAGCTGAGACTGCCACCAGGCACTGTCCCCTGGCAGCGAGACCAAAGGGAGCGAACCTCCAAAACACTTTATTTTCCCCCTGTCAAACAGAATGTAAACGAGTTTGCTTTTGGAAATATGCAGGACAGATTTCCAAACCCCAGCACTTTTCAGCAGCAGCGCTTTGTGTGAGGCCAAACACTTCTGTTTACATGGATGTTCATGGAGTCCTTTGTAGAGCACTTAAATACCTGTCTCAGTTCAGGCAATCAGCTGGATTGGCAGTCGTTTTTCCCCCGGTGCACCCTCAATGTCTGGATGTGAAAGCAGAGGGAGAGAAGTCCCTGCTGTGTTCACTGCCCTCCTCGCCATTCTGTGTGGGTTTGGTGTGATCCTGTTTCTTGTAGTGCAGGTTGTCCCTGCTGTGTTCACTGCCCTCCTCGCCATTCTGTGTGGGTTTGGTGTGATCCTGTTTCTTGTAGTGCAGGTTCAGTGTGAGAGGTCACCACATTTCTTGGTCTCAGATTGGCTCAGTGTAGCTATTTGTGAGGTCCTTAACTAGAAAGGTGTGGAGTGAAGCACAGGAAGAACTTTTACATTGCTTTGTCTTTTCCTGAAGTGACCTGAAATGGATCTCCAAACAGAACACTTGAATATTTGTTCCCTAAAGCTAAGCTAAAATAAATACCTGTTTGCCACTGAATGTTCAGCGTGAGCTGAAACGCTGATATCAAACATCATTTATGCTTTTCAGGGCAGCTGTGTTGATAAAGAGTCTCATTAATGCCAAGAGGTCTGCAGATCAAATTCTCTTTAGTGCATTTTATGTCTATTCACTTTTTTGATTGCAAAAAAAAAAAAAAAAAAAAAGGTCACAACCAAACTTGAGTATTGTGGAAGAATGGAGCTTGTCACAGGAGTACCGTGCTTTAGGAGGCAATTATTTGTGTATCCATTGAAGGCTTGTCTGGTTATGGGTTGTTTTGTCTTTTTTCTTTTAATACTTCTTCCTATTTAGGACTGAAGTCTTGCTCTCCAAGAAGACACGTGGTGTCGTTTTTGCAGGAATGCAGACCTGTTGTACAACAATAGCTGGGATCAATCAATCAGTCAGAGGAGCCGAAAGGTTGTGAATTGAAGATCCTTTTCCCCCCAGAGAAATGCAATGTGCTCAGCTTTGCTGGGGGTCTTGGATGCACATTCCAAGCCAGCTGGAAGGAGACACCTGGGGCTTGAGCTGGAGTGTTTCTGCTGGGACTGGAGGCTGCTCTTTCTCATTTCATGACTAGAAGTTCTGAGGATGAGGAGGGTTTCCTTCTTGCTGGCCACTCTCTGGACTTGGCAGTGTTTTATCTTGAGCTGTTGGATCTTCAGGCTGTTGGATTGGCTTAAAAGTTGTGTCGTGGTAAATCCAGGATTCAAATACTAGGCAGCAAATCACTGAGCTCTGGGGAAGTGCTTAATTGGCACAAAACCAAACCCAGGAATTGGGAAGAGTCGAGTGCATCCAGCTTTTATCTCTTGTGTTTTGTTTTTCTGAGGTGTAGCTTGTGCTTTATCGGCTATAATCATGTAATCATTTATACACTTGGGTGTGTGCAGAGAGAAATCCTGCTTTTGTTTCACAGCACTTTTTTTTTTTATTTTCTTTTATTTTAGAGAATTTAGTTGTAGCCTTCTCCAAGTAAGCATATTATAAATTAGTTTATCTGGAAGGGAACTATTTAATCAGAGGTGAAGTTGTAACTTAGAGGACTACTTTTGATATAAAATATGCTTCCTATATGGCACAGTTTTTACTTAGCCAGCAAATCATTGCCAATGAGGGACCCATGGTGTGATCATCTTGATTTGTATGTTCTTTGTCTTCTGAAATGTCCCCTGCCTTGTCTATTTTAAGTAGTAGTTTTGGGATTTTTTTTAAAATTCCCTAGTTACTCTTGGTTGTGTACTGGTGTTTGTTAGGCAGGGTTTTGATATTATTGCATGTACTGTATTCTTTTTCTACTTACAATCAGTATTTGAATGCAAAAACGGGACCAGGTTTTTTAATTTTCTAGTTATGCTGTCTTGGTTTTGAAAGAGCTGGTCTCTCAATCAATCTGTCATGTTGGCTTTTTTCTTGTTTGTTTTGCTTTAATGTTCTCAAGTGTTAAAGTTGTTGGTTTTGGTTTTTTTTTCTAAGCTGAAGATCTTTCTTTCAGTGGCCACTATTGAGATCCTGAGGTGAAGAACTCAAAGTGTGTACCTACCCCATTCCTCCAATCTGTTATTCCTTGGGTTTGAGTCTTCACTGTGAACCAGGAGATGTTTCCAGACTGATTCCATGGAAGCCTTTAGGTTGTGAAGGTAAAACTGGCCGTGGGGCGACTGTTCAGGAAGTTCTCAGCTGAGAAAACAGGACCTGCAACGTTGCAGGACCACTTTTGTTCCAGGGGTGCTGGTGGTTAAACTGTGTGTGCCTGTGTCGTGTGGCTCATTGTACAGGTTGTTACCCCATTGTACGGTAAAATTAAGCAGCTCTGTTCCTTCTGCCAGGGTTGTGACTCCAATCCATGAATGTAGGAACCCTGTGGAAGTCACGTCGTTGTCTCTGGCTGTTCTGTCAGCTTGCAAAGATTTAATGAGTTGATGCTCTTGTGCTCAAGTTCTCAACGAGCTCTTGGCTTCGTTTTACGCCCTCGTTGCTGATTCAGTGACGAGTTAAAAGGTCAAAAAGTTGCAGAGGCATTTAAGCTCTGACCGCTAGAAGTCCCCAGGGAGCAGAAATGAGATGCAGGAAGCACCTCAGGAGCAGCTTGCCCTGCTTGCTGTTGCAAATGTTATGGGGTGACTTGGTTTTGTGGTGGTGCCTGAGGTGATAACTGGAGAGCAGCTCCTCCTTAGGGACCTGCAGGACACTCAGGCACTACCAAGCCAAAACACAGGGTGGCTCAGGGGCCTGCAGGGGCTGAACTGCAGAGATTCCCAGAGCGGATCTCGGTGGGAGCTTGTGAATTGGTGTGTGAGGGTTGAACGCTCCTGCCAGCCAGCTGGGAGGAGACTGGGCTCTTAATGCAAATAAAGGCTGCCAAGATGACTTTTTAACTTCAGGGTGATGCACACAACGTGCCAAGAGTTCCTTGTGCACGGTTCCCACCACGTGTGATGTAAACCAAACCACTAAGTTGCATCTTGCAGGATGCTCTTCCATCTCCATACTCGTGTGCACGGCTCCCCAGTGAACCTTTGGGTTACCTGTTTAAAATGTTGTATTTCCTTCTGGTCAACAGGCCAAAAATTGGGGCACTACACCTCTAGTTCCTAGAACTGCACAGTATTTCAGCTCCACCTGCCCGTGTGTACAGGTGGGGTTATCATCCAGTGTTATCACATTGTTTGGTGGTGTTCTTTTTACCAGCTGTGGAATCAGTAAAAAGGATTTTTTGTTGTTGCCCTTTAGGTGTCTTCTGTGAGAGGTTCTCCCCTTCCCTGTAGTTTTTGTAACCATGGTAAGATATTTCAGCAGAAAGGGAAAGATTTATTTTTTTGTTTGTTTCTGAAGACATCAGGAATGACTGAATGGTCTCAGATTTGCCAGAGCTGTATGTTTAACTCATGTTACACTGAGAAATGGAAAATGGATTAATTTAATGAAACTGTGTAGCAGTTCGTGACTGTTCCCTTAAGTGCCACGTCAGAAATCAGCAATATGCGGTACAAGAAATATGAATCACAAACCAGAAGTGATTTATCTTCGTAAAGATCAATGTAAAGAAAAAAATAAAATTGTTTACTACTTTATAGCAAACCAATAGCAGAGCTTGTATTTTTGTCTGATTCTGTGACTGGAGAGAATCCAGTTGGGCTTTGAACGTGTTGCATGCAGGTGATGCTGACTGGGTCAACTTGGGATTGGTGTCCTCAGTTTCTTGGGACAGGAGGGAAGGGAAGATGAAATAATCATGAGTCTTGACAGGGAACACACTTCCTGGGAAACAGGGATTTGTGTGATCTCTCCTGCCACCAGAAGCCTCCCTTGGAGGTTTGGTACTGATGTTCTGCTGAAGCCTTTGTAGTCAGATGCATAATTTCAGCTGCTTGGAAAATTTAACCAAGCACTGAATTAATTTGGAAATCCAGTCCCAGAGTCTGTCCTTCAGGTATGACTTCTGCATTTTGGAGTTGCTTGATCCCCTCAAAGAGGCTATCAGGTACCTCAGCTACTTCAGATAAAAAACATAACAGCTAAATGTTTGTGAGGGAGGCAAAAACAAGAGGTAGGAGTTGACTTTCCTTGCGTGTCCAAGCAGATCTTTCCTAAGCAGAGGTGAATAGTGCACTGTTGTTGTCCTCTGGCTCTGCTACAGAACGACAAGCTGTTACAGCAGCTGGAAATCTGTTCAGAGGGGTTGCAAAACAGGCTAGAGATCAGCAGTTGAGGCAGAACATGGCTATGGCCTGAGGACCTCCTGTCCTGGATCCTCAAAACTGAGGTCAGAAATAACAGAAAATTCTGGGAAGAGTGCACAGAGCCATGTCCTCACTTGGACACTTGGCATATTTAGCGTATTAAGCAGGTTGTGTTGCCCTTGCAGCTGCTGGGGCCTGCACAGAACAGCTGAGACCCCCGTTTGCTCCTTGGGGCTGAGCTTGAGCCATCTGTGCTCAGTGGAACTGCAGTGAGGGTGGCAGTGGGGTTAGGCTGGTTCCTAAGAAATCCATAACTTGGAGAGGATAAACACAGCTGGCCTGCTCTGAACTGAGCCCCAGTACCTGCAGAGCCTCTCTGAGCTCTGGGTGCCTCAGAGCATTCCCTGAACCTGCTGGTGTTACAGCACATCAGCTCTTCCTCCTGTGGGATTTCAGGGGTGCTAAACAGAGCTCCCTTATCTGCAGCTCCTTGACCTCAGCTGGAAGCTGAAGCTTTAGAATTCCCACACAAGCACATTCCCTCAGATAATGCAAAGGAAGGGCGTGCTCTGCCTTGGCAACTCCCTCCCTGCACAAGAAGGTAAAAGGTTCAGTGAGAAGGGACTCAGAGTGGTGTTCTGTGCTGTGGGAGCCACACTTGTCTCCAGTTCAGGGATGCCCATCTGCAGTGCCAGCTTTCCAGAGGGTGAGACTAGAAAGCAAAGCTCAGGACTGTAGACTGATTTTAAAAACCTAAGAGTTGTTTAATAAGAAAACTAAATATGCTCGACCCTAAATTAGTCTGGGGTATTGTGACAAGAAGTGAAGTCATTAAAACTTTTGATACCAGAATATACCTGTTAAATGAAGGTGACTTTGGCCTTAATTAAGATTCTCTCTTACCCTAGAGCACCTGCATCCTGCCTGTGTCCCTCGAAAGCAGTGGATCTCTGGTGTGCACAAACCAGTCCCATTTTGGCAGTGAGCTGCCTCTGAGACTTCAGG